TTTAATATCAAATGGATTACAACCGATAAAGAAATTGGTTCATAAAATATGTATTGTTGAGGTATTAATTGTACATCGTCGACTTTAGGCCATTATTTAAACTTATCCAACTCTGCTTTTAAAAATTTTATTTTACAATTATTTTCTGTTATTTCTAGAATACGATCAATATACCACCCACTGCCGTATATGATAGCATAATATTTTTTAGTTTGAAATGTTATATTATCATTAATATTTTCATTTTGACTGTTTTCTGAAGATTTAGTGTCAGCAGAATCAGCATATTTTATTTTTTCATTTTGGGCATCTTCAGAAGAATCTTCATCAGAAGTAACTTTTTTCCAATGATTTTTTGTTTGTTTTACATTCATAGTTACTGATAAACCGCCGCAACCGATCACTGCTTACTCGATCTTTTGGTTTTTCCAATAGCCAACAAAGTTAAGACTTTTTAATAATGGTTGACTCGTTGTTTGATAAATTTATTTTTACAAAAGGTAAATCTATGGGAATCTCATTTTCATTGTCACTACATGAATTTTTGTTTATAATTTTTTCACTGAAGTCTTAAAATTTAGGGAATTTCCACAATTCAATATCTTGCTAATACTATTAACATCTTCAGCAATATTTAAGTAGTTTTTTCATTAGTAAATTGCTGCTAAATAAATCTGCATTAAGTTCTTCTTCAATTATTTTATTTTTTATCATTATTGAATCTTTTTTCCTGTTAGGTTTGTTAAAAATAATGGCTTTTCAAAAACTAAATCTACATTTATAATCATTCCAATATGAGTTTCAGCGATTTCTTTTGCATCATTGAAACTTCTATGTATAATATTTAAAATTGTATCATTAGTAAAATATGAAAAATCTGTTTCTACTATTTCAGTAGATTTTTTCTCCCTGGTAAATTTAATGTCTATTTTAGAATTTAATAATTCAGCTTTAATTTCGTTTATAGCTTCAATACCTTTAAGTCATGACATAATATCTTTCATAGAAAAGTTTACAACAGAGAGTATGTACTTATAAGTGACCGAGTTGCTCTGAAAAATTGCTCACACGTTTGGCTGCAGAAGTTCCATATTGTATACATTTCTGGATTTAAGTTTTTATCTTCTCGAAATCGTATAATAAGGAGTATCAATGAATGAGCATTTATTTCTATGCAATTTAGACAATTAGTCGTTATGAAGCTATTTCCAATATTATATTCTCTTTTATTTTTCACCCAAATTTTCCAAATTCGTAAAAAAATACATTGAATCACATTTTATAAATTCGTTCTTCTGTACTTACTTCCTTATCTAAAAAAGCTGTTAAAATAATTAATATAATTCATAATTTTTAGATAGGCAATTGTTGCATGTGTATTTGGAATATTCACTCAAATATTTAGTACCTTGGTAGATCACATTTTTTCTGCAGACGAAAAATTCATTTTGTTCTCAGGCTTAAGATTGGAAACGGTTAGCAAGTGCATGTCTTTGGAAAATGTCCTTGTTAACTCCATCAAATGATCTACCGTTGCAAAATAATTACGCATTGTTATGATAATATTTGGTTTAAGAAATCGCGTTCTTAATTTTGTCAAAATATGAACCGTGTCTTGAATGCATACTTCTTTATTTCGTTTTCGGTTAGGAATAATTGGTGGCTCTCCAATTATAAACCAAGACAACTACTTATCTTATTCTCGGACATTTCATAATTGATCGTACTAATACTGATACCAATGCTTTGGAGTAGCATTGCTCTAAGTAATCTAGAATCTCCATCTGATGAAAATCCTTATATTTCAATCCTTTGCTCAGTGGCAGCGGTTTTCATGAATTCCCATCTATTCATGACGTCTTCATTAGAAAAACGGCTGTTTGTTAAATAAATAGACAAACAAAATAGCACGGCAGTGTCGTTCAAGGTTTAGCCATTATCACAAGCATAGTTGGCTCTACTTTCAGAATTGAAATACAGTGCAATAGTTTTTGCAGAACTTGCTATGAATGCATTAGTCACTGGACTAGCTCCACAAACTTATGAACACAATATGGGAACAGGAAGAGATACCAAAAGCATGGCGTATTTCCATTATATGCCCTGTATACAAAAAATAAGACATCATGGAGACTGAAAACTATAAAGGGATCTCACTACTCAATGCATCATATAGATTATTGTCTGACATACTACTTACCAGGATCAACCCGTATACCCGAGAAATAATTGGAGAATACCAAGCTGGATGTATGAAAGGAAAATCAACAATAGATCGAATATACATAGTAAAACAGGTTGTTGAGAAGAGTCACAAATTCAATAAAGATATACATCTGTTTGCAGAATTCAAAGCGGCATACAACTCAATCACCAGAGAAAAACTATGGGAAGTCATGGGCCAGTTAGGAATTCCAGCTAAGTTAACTAGGCTAATCAAAGCGTGTTCATTTAATTCAAAAATTAAAATTCGTTTTTGAGGAGATTTATCGGAAGAGCTCCCGGTAACGACTGGTCTAAGACAAGGGGATGCTTTATCATCCGCGTTGTTAAATACTGCCCTAGAATCAGTTATGCGCATAGTTAAGTCCCAAGCCAAAGGCATAGAAATAAAAGACAATCAAAATCTAACAGCAGTTGCTTATGAGGATGATATAATCTTATTAGCCGAAACAGAAAATAACCTAAAAACACGGCAGATATTCTGCTGAAGGAGGGGGCAAAGATTGGCTTGATAATATGTGAGACAAAGGAAAAATACATGATAGTATCTAGACAAATTCACAGAACAGGCTCCATAAAGGTAAGTGTTCATACTTTTGAAAGGGTAAGACATTTTAAATACTTAGGTTCAGATATTAATGAAGATGAGAATAGCCACGATGAAGTTAAAAGGCGACTTATCGTAGTTAACAGGTGCTACTATTGCTAAAGTCTAAACTATTATCAAGAAAATCAAAAATCAAATTACATAAAGTCCTAGTTAAACCAATAGAAATATACTCTATATGCAAGCAGTACCTGGGCGACAACAAAAGCTGATGAAAAAAAGTTAGAAGTATTTGAGAGTAAGATATTGCGAAAGATATTTGACCCAGTCAGAAACAATGAAGGAGATTATGAAGTACGTAGCAATAAAAACTTAGAAGACATAATATAACTATATAACACACCTAGCATTACTGGGACACTAAAAAGCATTCGAAAAGTATGGGTCAGACATGTATGGCGTTCAATAAACCTAATTGGAGAAATAACTACATGGAAACCTAACACAAAACGACCCAGAGGACCACCCAAACAAAGATGGATGGATAGAATAAAAGAAGACTTGAAAATGCTGGAAGTATGGAATAGAGAAAAGTGGAGGCAAATAGCTGTTGCGGCGAGGAGCCTAAAAGGCCTGTATAAAGACAAAGAAGAAGAAGCTACAGAAGTTGACATTTTACTAATTTTAATTACGAAATTATTTGTTAATTTTCAATGTAATAAATTTAATCGAAATTTGAAGTCTAAATAATAATAATGAAAAAAATATTGCTCAACAATTTCTGTTCAAAATTAAGGAAATTCGCAAATTATTTTTCAGTTAATTAAATTTTGTTAAATTTTAGAGGAAATTATACATTAAAACTACTAAGAATAGCTATTTTACTTATTTTGTTGTAATTTAAAAATATTATGTATTCGTGTTTATTATGTATTTCGAGCTGATAATTGAAACTTTTAAAGTTTTAAGTATGATGTTTTATTATATTGTACAAATAATTTCAAATTCAAAGTTTTCGGCAAAAATTAATTCAGCCTATACTGTATTAGGTACTAAAAGTAAATACTAAATCTTATTTATTATTTTTGGCAATTGGAAAATTCGTTAGATGGTAGTGAAATTGCAGTAGAAGATGGCCAATTGCAGGAGAGTTCTGAAATGGATGTACCTCAGAATCTGGACAACAATTTAAAAGCCCATCTAAAAATTTCAATAAAAAAGAAAATTGACGATAAGGTAAAAATAATTGAAAATAGGATGAACGAATCATTTACATTTTTAAAGGTGATTTTTGATTTGTTTTTATAATTTTCAAACTGTATTGTTAATTTAATTATTTTAAACAGGTACGTTGTACCATACGAAGAGTTGTACGATCGTATTAAAGATTTTCACATTAAAACGGGACATGGTGGAATTGTTAAATTACGTATGTCAATGGGTCACAAATATAAAATTGCAAGTTGTATTTGTAAACGCCAATGTGAAACAAAACGATGTGCTTGTTTTAAAGCTTCTGTTAAGTGTAACAGTCGTTGCCATAACACTAATGTTTCTAAAAATAAGTAATAAGAAGTATTTATATAAATAATAAATAATTATAATGATCATGAATAACTTTAATAGATTAAATATTAAACTTAATTTAAACTGGTTGTATTGTTTCATAACAAATCAGAGTTTAATCTATAAAATGTATCTATTTAGTATCTTAATGCCTATAATTTAAAAATACTAGATTAATCTTAAGTATAATAGTAATTGTATCTATGTCATTATTTTTATTTCAAGAAAAGTTACCAATTGATGTTATTAATTAAAAATATTACACAAGGTGTAAAATAAGAGTTTCCTCTTTATGAAATGGAAAAAATGTATGTCCGTTTCATGCACTAAAATTTGACTTACACGATATGATCGTATTTCATGAAATGGATATCCATTTCATGAAAAAATACGTTTACACTAATTAAATGCAATATATATATTAAAAAAATAAATAATGATATAAATAAATAAAATTGTTGCTTATTTACTTATATTAAAAATATTAAAAAATATTTGAACTTAAGATTAATTATTATTTTACTTTAGTTTTACCTTACGGCTTTTGTATATTTATGCATCCCAGTATCTTCTTTCTTTAGATTTTGTTTTTTGTTTTTATTTAATTTTTCTTTTAAATACTCTCCACGGAACATTACAAAATACGCTGCTGCACAAGCAGCAATTAGCGTCTCTGCGTCTGGTCTACAGTACTAGTCATTTTGAACTGAGAAATTTGGTGGCATAAAGCGAAATCTGATAAGCTCGTGGCTCGCCAAGTCACGGTCCGTGGGAATGCTGTAGAAATTGTAGGCTCGTGGTATGCTGAGCATAAATGTAGGCTAGGCACAACAACCACGCTGGGCGAAGTTCGTCGAGTTACGTGGGAACCCGCCTTTATTGTGAAGAAGTTCAAAATTTGATAGTTCAATAATCTTTGTTAATATTTCATTAAATTAATTAATCATAAATTTACACTAAGTTATCTTAAACTTGTAATTGGCTTTATCATTTAAGTATTTATTAAAACCATGTATATTATACTTATTTTACAATTATTACAATGATTTGTTAATTATTTTTTTTATTCTATGAATCGTTTTGTTTATAATGTTACATTATTAATGTTTCGGGTCGATACTTATGCCAGAATGGGCCGAATGCGTTGTATCTAAAATCAATTATATCTCAATCACAAATGCAATGCTTGCTAACACGGTTGTCTACTAAGGTTGGTGTACGGCGTGTTATCGCTGGTTGATACGGCGGACGCTGTGAACTAAAGCGGTAGTAGTCAGAAGGCATGAGGTGCAGCCGGCTGGACTTATTAATGAGTCATGACAAAGTAATTTTGTTTGTCGATTATTATATTATTCGCAATACTCGTCTGTTCTTTACAGTTTATACTTTGATAGTTATTAAAAATGAAAAACTAATTGTACTGTACCGTCTATTGTCTAACGAGTAACGGTATAAGTACTGTATATGTAAGATAAGTATTACACGTGTGTGTGTGTGTATTATAATGGAATACCTAGTTGTAATTCATGAATGTCTATATTATATTATAATATTATATTAAGTGTTGGTCAGAACTTTAGTTACCTACCTTCATGTTACTATAACAAAATTACTTTGAGTTATTTGTTGTTAAATTAATATCAGTTTTTCAGTTGCACCCGTCGAGTGAGGTGCGCTTCAGTTGCTAACGACTAACAATTTACTATGGTTGATGGTAAAATAATTATCACTTCATGTAATTTATCAAGTCAAACCTGCAATATTTGAAAATGTTTTCCTAAAGATATGAACTACTTAGAGATAATATATAGCTTAAAATGCAATGATGATACATTACATGCATGGATAAAATGTTTAAAATGCATGCTTCATGCTAGCATATAAGAAAGGAATATTAGAGTCAAACAAAAGGGCAAGTGTCGAATAAAAAAATGAAAAGGCTATTCAAAAAAAGAAAATACAAAATGGTCTATGGGAAAAATTGGGAATAAAAGTAGATAAAGTTGTGCAAGGCAAAGGTACATCTAATTACTGGTACTATAGGTGGGCGTTTTTTTGAACATGTACAAGAAGTTTCAGAGATAACTGGGTTAAATAAAATACTTATTGAACATTTTATAGTTATTTTAAGTATTTTGGAGTGTAGTTATAATGTTAATTCTGAAAAATACGATAATTATGCGAAAGATACTTTTTTTTTTTAATGCAATATTTACAATCTATACAATAAGTAGTACAATAAGTAAATTTGATAAGGTAGTATAATACAAGACTTGATGACTTAAGGGGGGAAAACCGTCCAACAGTACCTCCTAATAATGGTGGGTTCTCAATGGAGACCTTTTTTTTTTTTATTGTGTTAGGCAAGGGCGTCTCTTGGCTATTTTCTTTTTAACTTTCTAGGAGGGTTGCTGGGGATGGTTAAAGAGGACATGCGAGATATAAGAGGGTTTAGGTGTAGTTTGGAGTGAAACTTTTTGTAGTGATTTTGATGAATTTTGTCTAATTCATTGACAGTTGAAATTTGTAGATCCTTATGTAGTGCGCTGTTAGTCATATACCAGGCGGCTCCAGTTATTTGTCTAAGACATGGACACTTGTAAGGGTCTTATATTGGATGGTTTGGCTTGGCCGCAGATTTGGATACCATATGACCAAAGGGGGGTAATAATTGTCTTGTATATTAATATTTTGTTTTTTAAACACATTGAAGGAGACAATAATGGGCGGAGGAGATGTAGGCGGGTGTTTGATTGTTTTCTTTTCTGTTTAGTGTGTTGGGCCCAGGTAAGTCTTTTGTTTATTCTCCTAGGTATTTGGTTACATTTTGGATAGGGATTGGAATATTATTGAGCGATAATTGTGGACATTCGTTTTTGCTGAGAGAAAAATTTATTTGGACTAATTTGTTTTCGTTTATTTTAATTTTCCATTTTTTTGACCAGTTGGAAATTAGATTTAGATGAAATTGTATATCATGGGTGGCTATGTTGGGGCCTTTGTTTGATGCTAGTATAGCGGTATCGTCAGCATATGTTGCTAGAGTTGTATGGTTTGTTTTGGGTATATCGGATGTGTAAATGTTATATAGTATAGGTGATAGGTCACTTCCCTGTGGTACTCCCGCTTTAATTTTATGATAAGGAGAGTAAGAATTGTTATGTTTAACAGTGAAATAACGGTCTTCTAGATAAGATTTTATAATGAGAAAATATGGAGCAGGTAGAAACAATTTTAGTTTGAACAATAGTCCGTCATGCCCAGGGCCGGCGCTATGATTTGCGAGGCCCTGTGTAATTTATAAAAGCGAGGGCCCTCTCTCAACCCCCCCCCCCCAACCACCAAAGCCCTCGGTCAAGGAACAACAAAAACATAATTGTTACAATATTATTTAAATTTTTATTTTAAGACGGGCTGAAAGTTTAAACTATAATATTACTATTAAGTATTAATTACACCACATTTTATGATTTTATTTTGTACAATTTTGTACAGTATTGTAAGACAACAACATTAAAAAATAAATAAACGTTAACACATTGTTTCAAATTATATAAAATTGGTTTTAATTATTGGCAGAACTGGAATCTGGGTTCATTGTTAATTATAAAACAAAAAATAACTAAATATAAATATTATCAACTGCATACAAATAAAAGTAGGTATTAAGTATAAGCTATATAACATTTAATGTACGTTTTGTAACAATAGAATAATTATCATCTAAATATAATATTATTAAAATATTTTCTTTCTTGCTTTTTTTGCCGCGAATGTATCAACAATGTTTTCTAAATTTAAACTATCTACAATTTCATTTTCTATAGCAATCATTGCTAAGCCACTTAATTTTATTTGTGATAAACTATTTCTTAAATAATTTTTTATTATTTTTAATTTTGAGAAGCTTCTTTCAGCTCCTGCTGAAGCTACTGGTATAGTTAATAATATCCTCAAAGCAACTTCGACATTTGAAAATGAACCTAATGATTTTTTTACCAGTTTTAATGTATATAAAGTAGTCATATTATCGTCTACCATTTCTCGAAGAACAAGTATTTCTTCCAACAAATCTATAGCATCTATGTCTTTATCTTCACCATCTGTTAACACTGTTTGAAGATCTTGGCAATGTTTCAAAATGTCAGTGTCAGCCATTGTTTTTAATTTACTCATGTCGTATAGAAACCCAAAAGTTGAATTGAAATTATTTATTTGATTAAATCGTTTTGACATTGAAATTATTGCTGAATCCAAAATGACAAGAAAATATTGAGTCCGAAAGCGTTGTTCTGAATCTTGTGGAACTTCATCTGGGTTTTCATAATTAAAAAAAGTTTTCTTTTTTCTCAAGCGATGACTTTTAAAAGTAGGCTCAATACCAATACGAATTGCTAAATTCTTAGCAGTCTCTATAGCTGTTTCAAATCCATTATCCCTGTATTTTTTAAGAAATGCAATAAGTCCTTCTAGCATCTTAGTTGAAACATCTAATTGCATACTTGGATTTTGAAAATGCTTACTTACAATATTTACTTCTACAAGTACTTCATACCAAATAATAAGACTTAATACAAATTCAAAACTTCCAACTTCATTTATTAACGATTGTGCTTCACTTTTAGCGATTGGATCATCAGATGTTTCCATGATTTCTTTTAATGCACCTATCACATTTTCTACTTGAAAACGCAGAGCTTTAACACTATTGATGCGACTTTCCCATCGTGTTTCAGACCATTGTTTTACAGTGTATAGCTGACAATGAGATTTAAAAATGTCCCATCTATGAGTAGATGCTGAAAATAAATTATATACTCTACCAAGGTAACCAAAAAATGTTATCGCTATGGTAGAACTTTTTGCAGAATCTCTTAAAACTAAATTCAAACTGTGTGCGGAACATGGTACAAAGAAAGCTCTAGAGTTGTTTTGTAATATTCTGGCCTGAACGCCTTTGTAGGGACCGATCATATTTGCCCCGTTATCATAGCTCTGCCCTCTACAATCACTCAATTTTAGGTTGCTTATGCTTAGCTGATTTATCAAAATATTTGAGAGATTAAGACCTGTCGTTGAATGGACATTGATAAAAGTTAAGAAGTATTCTTTAATTGACGGATCCGGGCTTTCTTCAGAATTCATATGAACTATTCTGACGACTATGGAAACCTGTTCTTGATGATTAATATCAGGTGTAGAATCCATTATGATCGAATAGTGTTTAGACTGTTTTATTTTGCTCAGAATATTTTCTTTAACTTGTTCAGCTATAATTACAATAACAGTTAGTGATTAGATGTCGCACACATTAGACGTACTTCGTGTGCATCGCTCTCTTATCGCGTCGTTATCCATCGTACATATTTCTCGCTAATATTATAGTTTATTTATATTGAGTTTTATTTGATTCAGTTAATCATGAATTGTATAAAATGTACAGATAATGTAATTAAAGAAGATGAAATAATATGCTCAGATTGTAAAATAAGTGCTCATTATTATTGTCAAGGTATAAATGAAAATAACTTTAATAAAATGTCAAAAAATACTAAGAACAAATGGACGTGCACTGATTGCAAAACTAAATGGGATAATAACAAGAAAATCATACCAGAAAATGAAGTGGAACGTGATAATATTAAACAATTAACGGAGTCTGTACAATATATGAGTGATAAATTTGATAATTTCAATATTACAGTTAATAGAATATTAAACGAAATGAAAGAACTAAAAGAACAAAATACAAAACTACTTGTAATTAATGAAAAATTATCAAACGAAGTTCAATTTCTAAAAACAAAAGTGGATGATTTAGAACAACGAACATTAGAAAAAGCTGTAGAGATTGTAGGTATACCGATAACCACTAATGAAAATTGTAAGTCACTAATTGAAGAAATAACACACAAACTTAATATAGAATGTAATATAGTGAATGCTTATAGAATAACAACGCAGCATAAAACAGATATGAAAATAATTGCATGGTTATCTAATATCGATGATAAAAACCGACTTTTATCAGTAGCCAAGAGAATGAAATTGAATGCTAATCAGTATAAAGAGAATTGGCCGCAATCAAAAATATATATAAATAATCATTTAACAAAAGTCAAGCGACAATTACTGGGGAAATCGAAAGCAATGGCGAAAGAAAAAGGATACAAATATGTTTGGATGAACGGAATTGACATTTTAGTGAGGAAAGAAGAACATGGCAAAGTAATTAGAATAAAGGAGGAAAATGATCTAAATAAAATGATATAGGTATAATAAATATATATTTATTAGTCCTTAGAATAAGATTATCAATGTACATAATTTTATAAATATTAATGAATGATAACATAAACGAATTAGTAGATAAATTAAATAATATAAATACAAATGTTATAAATGATATTAATGATTTAAATCAATTTTTCATTGGTAATAATACCTTTACTATTTTTCACTTGAATATAAGATCAATTAGCAAAAATTTTTCTCAATTATCAATTATGTTAAATAATATTATCCAATTTATTGATTGTATTGTATTAACTGAATGTTGGCTTAACAATTGTGCTTCTAATATAAATATTGAAGGATTTCATACTTATGTAACAAAAAATAATAATTTTAATCAAAACAGCGGTATTGGATTATACGTCAAAGATTGTCATATGATAGAAAAAGTTAATGAAATAATTATAGATAATTGTAATTGTTTAAATTTAAGTATTTGTTGTAATGGTACTCGTCGTGAAATAATTGCTTTATATAGAGGACATAATAATAATTATACAAACTTTGAAACTAAATTAATTGAATTGATTAACAATATTACAAATAATAAAATAATAATAATAGGAGATATCAATATTAATATAGCAGATGATAGTAAAGATGAATTAAAATTAGATTACTTAAACTTGATGGCGAAATTGGGATTTTATAGTTTTATAAATGATTATACTAGAGTTTGTAATAATACTAGCTCAACTATTGACCATATTTTTATTAGAACTAAATATATTGATAGTATTAATCCTATTTTATTAAAATCACTAATAACAGATCATTATAGTACTTTGTTAATAGAATAAAATGAAGTAAGGAAGGATGGCAACAAATCCAATATTAAATCATATTTAAATATTAAATTCTTTTGTTCTTTATTAGATTCAGAAAGTTGGGAACCTATTTTATAACCTAACCTACGAATATCAATAATTGTGCTGATAAATTTCATAAAATATTAAATAACCATATAAATAAAGCCAAAAAACATAAAGAATGTATTATTCCTTCAAATAAACGAAAAATCAAACCATGGATAACATCGGGACTAATTGCTTCAATAAGAGTGAGGGATAAATTAGGAAAAATGACTTTTAAACGATCGAATTATTTTCATTTTTTAAACTATTATAAAAAATATAAAAATAAACTATGTTCATTAATCAGGTACGTAAAAAACGTATACTATAGAAATAAAATAAAAAATAATTCTAATAATATTAAAAAAGTATGGAATATAATTGGAGAAGTAATAAATAGAGATATCAAAAATAAAACAAATATTACACAAATTATTTATAATAATGAATTAATAAATATTAATACTGATATAAACAAATGTGTAAATATATTCAATAATCATTTTATAACTGTAGGAGAAAATATAGCAGAACAAATTAATTATGATAATGGAATGACAGTTAAAACACGAGCGGATCACCGCAGCTAGTTCCACGCTCCGCACGCACATGCGCGCACCAAAATCTCCTATCAACTTCATATCTTATCAATTATATTAAAAACGGATAA